GTACACTTAAGCGCAAATGTGACCCGCACAGGTCTTGAGTATATATATGAGCAAGTATACGAATATACCATATAAATATGTATGTATATTGTGTGTGCCTATTTAACGGGCATTATTGATTGCTTAACACTTCAGCATTTCATAATAATAATAATCAGAAATTATTGTGTGCTGCTTTTGATTTTATTCTACATTTGTCATGCTATTTTACAGTTGCTCGCCATTTTTTCTCAACAATTAAACATTTTCACATGCGCAGCTACTTAGGTATACAAATACACATATATACATATATATGTATTATATTTGTATGTACATATGTGTGTTTGCAAGTGTATAGAATTTCAAGTGGCGTGTTTCGTGCTGACATAATGAGCCAACGGGTGAATTGGGTGTCACTTCACGGCATAGCTCAGTTACAGATTTGCATGCAGACACACACACATATACATACATACACACATATGTGCTGCTTTTATGTAACAATATATAAATAAATATGGCTGTACTTACGTATGCACTTGATAAACTTATTAAAGTAATTTTAGCATTGCATAAAGCCACCTCACTGGTTCGCGTACAAATTGATTCTGTGTGGACTACAGTACAGCCCTGTGGTGGGAATTGGTGATAGTCTTACAAAATGACTAGTTTCTTTGTTGAGGTTATATTTATATTATATTTTTCTACTCTTGCAACATGTTGCTACAGATTATAAGTTATTTATATCACCTAAAACTAATCGAGTTGCATATAGGGTTATACAATATATACTTGTATATATATAGTATATAAATGGTCAGGATGATATAAAGCTTAAGATTTCACAATGAAACTTGTTTCTACGTGTTCCTTGACGAAAAAAAGTGCAGTTTGTAGATGGGCGTAATCGGACCACTGCCACGCCTACTAAACGCTATTAAACGGAAATCTATAAAATGCCATAACTAAGCACTGCAGCAACTATTGCAGTAGCAAGGAGCACTTGTAAACTAAAAATGTTGAATAGATGCCGGGAGCCCCACCCTCTAATAGGTTTAATGTACATATCACCACGGAAGCTACAATAACCAAATTCGCTTAAGACAAATCCTATAATAACCTCTACCGACAGCGTGACAATGGATGAAATCGGATTATTATTTTAATGATATTAAGAGAGCATGTTTTTCTAACAACAGTCTATCTTTGTGCCTAAAATGAATAAAATTGGGCGAAAACTTGCCTTAGCCGCCATAGAACTGATATTCACGATGATGAAATGTCCGGCCAAGGCTTAATTTAGTTTTTCATACACTTGTTATATGCCTGGGCCTGGGATGGCATTCAGTGCTCTCTCCGGATATTTATCATAGGTACTTTAAATATTTTCTTGTTGTTGTATGCCTTTTCGTACGAATGAGCTACATCTTTTTGTACTCTAAACTATTGCCAGACCCCAGACAGAGATTAGGAGAAGCTAAAAAATGCTTGCGTGTTTCTCCCCTACTCCACAATTGGTAGAATTCGTATCAACTTTATAAAACAGTTACTTAAAACAGAATCAAAATACCAATTCAATATCATGAGCCAAACTACCCACAAGACTTTCATCTCGTTTGAATAATGTGTTAAGTATTTCAAAAAATTGTCTGAACCGAAAGCCTCAACCCATAGTACGATATTTAGTAGGACCACTCAGCAAAGAGATCGGAACTACTCCCATGAGTCGAGTTTCATGCTAGTTCTCAGATAATCTTACTTACCATAGGGTAATTACAGATATATCTCTTTACCAACCAACCAACATTTTCTTCTAACGCCAATCTTTGTGCTACTCAGGAGGGCGGGAGAACAATAAGAACGCTCGATTACACAAGTGCCCGCCATCTGCTGCACACTTCAAATTTCCTCAATTACAAGTCGCATTTGTGGGCAGTCAAATTGAATTCTTGCAGCAGCAGTGTGGCGACAACAACGACAGCGTTGACTTACTCGCTCGCTGGGCACTCGCTGGTCAATTCGTTACGCAGCCGCAAAAGAATGTCGTAGAGTTGCTGTAATCACCATTACCACCGTCGCCGCTGATGGTGCTCCCGAACGGTGTGGTAGACTCTAGATGGCGCATGCGGCAACATGGCTGTCGCCATCACCGGCAGCACTTGGAATGGGCTGGTGTTCTCGTAGCCGAGTATGTTGTCATATATGTCTAATTGAAATTGGCCAAAGGCACTTTACCACACGCCAGCAAGCGGCAAACCACTGACAGCAGCCGTCAACCACCGTATGTAGGTGGCGGCAGTTGTGTGCGATTCGTATCCACAACTTGGCTGGAGCGGAGCTCAGTGCAATAATGCGGTTGAGTGGATTTTCTGGGACTGCTGGACAAGTTTGCTAGCGCAAGAGCTTGGTTTGCTGCTATTCTAAGTTGTTGTATTGTGTTTGCTATTATTGTTGGTGTTAGCCTTGATCAATGCACTACGGAAAAATACTCACGTCCCATTGTGGTCGCTGGTCGTTGGTCGCCCCTATCAGCAACTGGCAACAGTCGCGCGAGAAAATTTACTTTTTTACTTTTTGTTTAATTATATCGTTTTTGTTGTTATAAAATATTTTTTTCTGCCGCTGTAACGGTGTCGGTGACGCTGAAGGTGGCGACTGACGCATGCATTCATTTTAGTGCTGAGTTTTTGCTTTTGTTTTTGCACTGCCATATGCATATACACATATGTTCGTATATCAATAAGTGTATGGTAACAACGACAACAAGTGCTCATATACATATGTATGTATATTTGTATATACAAATTATAAATTGAAATATACTCACCTATATTGTTTGCCATTACGCTATAACAATTTTCCGCTTGATTTCTTTTATAGTTGAAAGAAAAAATAATAATTCTTTTATATTCACATTTCGTGACATAAAATCTGTCACAGCTTCGTGTGCTTCATGGCCCTTTTTTGGTGTGGCTGCGCTTGTTTCGTGACACTTTCGGTTTTCAATGGATTGCTCAATGGCGCTGCTGGGGTGAAAAAACATAACTGTTCGATATAACCTTTTAACCACCAAAGCTTCAATGCATCAGATTTTTATACCCTGAACGGAGTATATGTTTGAAGATAAAAATAAAGTTTTTGTATGAAAAAATTTTTATTTGAGAAATTATTTTTACGAAATTTGGCATAAAATATTGTCGAAGACAACGCTATAATCTCCGAAAATATTATTCAGATCGGTATTAAGAAATGTAACTGTGAAGCGTATTATAGCTTCGGTTCAGCCAAAGTTCACATTTTTTCTCGTTTTTCATATGCCGATATCAGATGTTTAATAATTGTCCCGACAATTCTCAATCTCATCCTTTCTAGCTATAAACTTGACCTCGTGTCGGCAACTGCACTTCCAGAAATAGTAGTCACTATTTGCAGCTACTAATTTTATCTCAGAGCCCGTTTTTACAATTCTCTGTTTCGAATAATGTAAACAACCTAGCCTTTTAAGCTAACCGAGAAATTATATGGTACTTCCATTATCGGCAAAATGAACGCATAGCAAGCGACTTTTGTCTATAATGTTGAGGTAAAATATTTGTTTAAAGTTACAGAAATCTTAAATTTAGTGTTGCAATAGCAGGACTTCAAGAGGGAAATATATTATCCATGACCTCTTATATCTATATTCAAATCGGCCATTGCTTTTATTCAAACTAAACGGCTTCACAGCTCCCATTTACTTGTCTGGCCAATAAGTCTCAAGGTCTTAGAAAGATAAGCGGGGCCCTGGAGGAATTGTCCCCGATCTCCTTCCTCTCTATCGTTCACTGCCCTCATCGCTTTCTCGCTTAATGCTTTGTGTTTAATTTATTCGTAGATCTTAATGAGCCGTTCCTTTTTTCCTCACCGAAGAAAAGTCAAATCTCGGTTCACTTTTTTAATCCTTGGAAGTTATTTCACTGAACTCTCACCCTTCTATGTGGAAACAGTATGTCTCTAGTTTCGCTTGCGCCCAGTCGAGGATGACGTAAAGATGGAAATCCTGAATACTTTACGATTTGAAACTATTTGCCTCTGAAGATAGACGATATAGAGTTCCAAATTTGCTACTGGTAATTCATACCTTTACATTTAAGCATAATAGGAAGAGCCGATTCTATGTTACCGCAATGGATCCGGATTTTATACGGTCAATCTCTGTTATTTCGGCGAACTAACACGGTTTGGAGCAGAAAGTAATAAGAAAAGGAGTGATACCATTCTCCAAGATAGTGGCCTAAATTCAACCTGGTATCAGGGTTCTCTTTTCATCTTTCCAAACTTCTGATTAGAATAGAATATGTAAGTTTTTCAAGATACTCAACTTTCGGGTATTAGATCAACAGCGCGGTATATAAGTTTATTTGGTTATTAAAGTCTATAAAAGCACTACTATCTGCAAGTTGTGATGGATAAGTAACCGAAAACTGAAATTAAGCGCTAATTATTACATAAGATATACATAATACTCCTCAAGGAGCCAGATGAACTAAGAAGAATATGCGAACCAGCAGTAACGCTTGACGAAAGCAGATATTGGCAGAATTGCAGTTATTGCAAAAGTCTCTATGGCAACCGTTAGACAGATCTTTAATGAGGTTAGGTTCTTACATCAACAACTAATTCGTAACTTGATCAGGCGCCTCCACGAAGCCGTTGATTTCAAGTTCTCGCGTTATCAACAGTCGCATGCGCTCATTGGTCAATAATAGCTGGGCCGCACCTTAACCAATACAATTATGACATTTTATTTAATAGTCGATTTACAAATCACCTCAAACACAACACTTAACTCAACTAAACAACAGCTGTGGGACAGACACACGTACAGATGTACGCATGTACAAATAGAACAGCAAATGTCTAGCAGTTGCTTAGGGTTTGCCGTTAGTTACGGTAATTATTCACTACTGTTGAGCACTTTCACTTTTAATCGTGCTGTTAACTGCCCGGCATTCGCATAGAATTAAATAGTAACAATGTTTATATTTAAAATATGACATTTTAATAATTATTCAATATGATTTGTTTCGCTCGATGTTCCATATAAAAATCCATACAATTAATGCACATCATTTAAATATTCATTCACTAAAATATTTAAAAATATTTATATTATATAATATATGTATGTATGTATATATGTACAAACATACTATATATATATATATATATGATACTAAATTCAATTTCATTGCTTTTAACATTTCACTAGTTGAAATAAAAGGAAATGAACTCAATATCCGCTCAGTTTTAAATTATTAAGTTCAATGAGTAACAGTTAAAAAAAAGTGTTTGCATTTCGCTATGATGATGGCGCAAAATACAACACACAACCATAAAAAAAAATTAATAAGTTATAAATATTATCGGATTGCGAGAAATTATATAAAATATTTAAAAATACATATGAAAAAACAAAATATTAAAAAATGCATAAAATTAAAATCGATTAATTAAATTAAAGTGTAGTTTTGTTTTTGTTATTTTTTTTTTTATAAATATTTAACAAGACTCCAAGCGTAATGTGTAAACGTTTACGTCGCCCAAGAGACCGGCGCAAAACAAAGGCGAGCCCGAACCGACATGCTACCACCTGCTTCATTCCTCCATTGCCAAACCCAGCCACTAACATGTAACTGTATCTAGTGTTATTTCAATTTCTTGTATTCATCAAGCTCCTCCGCTTGCTGCTCTGCTTTCTGCGCATTTTCGTCGGCGTCCGCTACGGTAACGGACTGCTGTTGCTCCTGCTCTTCTGCGTTAGTTGTTGCATACATTTGGGCGAAACGCTTTTGCAGTCTAGTCATTTCATCGGCTTCAGGGGCCTGTAGCGCCGACAAATTGGCAACAACTTTAGCTGCTAGTGCTTCGTTTTGTTGCGCATCATCCTGCTCTATTTCCATCTTCTCCACACCAACCGCATCAGCGACAGTTACACCTGCTGTTACATCAGGACCATCGCCAGCGCCAATTTCCGCTTGATGACGCACACCACCAACACGTGTATCTTCTTCAAAAGCTGTGCCTTCGGCTGCTTTTACAGGTGTATTGATGGCTTCGGTTAATTGTATGCGTGGTGTTGGTATGGCGCCGACGGGCTCTGCGTATTAATGCAATGGAAAAAAACAAAACGAATTTATAACAACTTATTGTAGGAGTATTTTTTTAATTTACTTACCGTCATTTTCCGAGTCAATGTCTGTCGGTGTCGATGACGAGCTTGAGTCACGCTTCAGCGGTGAGAAATGCTGCTCCGGCAGACGCGGTGCAATGGGGCGTGCTTTACGTGCTGGATTCAGTGCATTGCAAAAAGCGCAACGAAATGTGGCGTAATCAAAGTCTTCTTTTAGTGCCATACCTAATGAATTTGAAGAGAAACTAAATTTACACACTACAACAGCAACTGAACGAAAGTGCGAAATTCGATATCGCAAACAAACCGGTGACTGCGCAACATAACAGTATTAACAGCTAATTTTTAAAACGGAATACGAAAGCAAATTGCGATTTGCCGTTACTTTCATTATTGCCATACCACAAAAATACTCACCGTTATGCGCGAAACACTCTTTGCAAATCATAGCGAAGCGATCCTTTGGACCATCGCCAATAAGTACATCAACAATACGTTCCAATACACCCTTGCCCTGCTGATTGACAATTGGGAAAGGTGTACGTTTGCCCAATTCCTGTCCAATCGGTCGTCTTTGCGGTGTAATTGGGAGTGGTGCACGTGGCAATAGCGACTGAGCGCCGGCTAACGGTGCGGCCGGTGAACTGCGTAGGCTGGAGAGCTGACGTGGTGTAGCCGAAAGCGACGAGGAACTCAATGTTGAACGCACTCGTAGATCTTGTAGACTACCTGTAGTTGCAGGCGCATTTGGCGTTTGTCCAATGGCGAGGCGTTGGGATGCTGCACTCAAGTTACTGACAGTCGGTGGACGCGGAGTCAAAGCTACAATATATTATGTGACATTTAATAAAGAATTATAAAACTACGCAACACAAAACAACGTACCATAAAATGACTTCTGACCATTAGTTTTGTCCCCATACTTGGCTAGGAGTTTTACTGCAACCTTTATTGATATAATTTGAGAGGTTATTTTATATTACACAAAATTTGGTTAGTATTATGTAAATTCAAATATTCGTGTTACTTAAAATTATAATTTTTGAACTTAAATTTCAATTAGAAAATATGATATAAATAAATACATTTACGTTTACGCTTGCCATCGCCGTCGTACACTCACCTTGTATGTCTCCTTATCCATGACCTGCTCTAATATTTTCTTTTTTTCTGTATGCAACGCTGTCAGCTTATTAGAGTTTTTATTCAACTTTCGCTCGAAGTACCACGTAAATAAACGTCGCAGGAGTATTATACTAAAAAAAACAAAAATATCCATGATATTATACAAATAAATAACAAACACTTTATATGATATGCAGTGAAGCTGAACAACACCCGCAAGACCGGATTACATTGGTGTCCAGGCATTTGTATTTACTTACACAAATGGGAATATAAGTAATGGCACTGAGTAAACGATTCGCTCTCGCCATGTCGGCGGAAAGTATACAAAGTAAAAAACAATAAATGCGATCACATAAATGCCAATTGATGTAGCAAGAAAATTGCCTACAATGCGTCGTTTTTGCTCCTGTGTATTCAATGTATATTTTTCTATTTGTGTGATTTTCTCCTCCAGTCCCTCGAGTACCGCTGCGGTGGACTTTTCTTTCTATAAATAGATGCAGTACACACAAAAAATATTAAACTATAGACTTTATAACATGCATGTACATAACATTCGTGTTTTTGGTGTATGAATAAATTTGTATATCAATTATGGGGCCAACGAAGGTCACCTGCATATAAATATGCTGTCTTACCCTGAACTTGGCCAATATAGCACCCATCTTATTGCGCTGTGCTCTATTGCTTCAATATTTATTTATAACAGCTCACTTTCCTTTACACTTCAACTTCGTTCTGTTCCAACTCGAATTCGGCAGTGCATTGACTGCTTACAAAACTCAATGACTATGCTTTCGTTTCTTAAACTATGATATATTAGCTTAAATTACAAACATTGTTGCAGCTTAGTTTCGTTTGTTTTTAGGCGTTGACTCGCATTCCAATAGTAAGCTATCGCTTATGCCCAATTTAGCTATGTGGTTTTTGTATTGTTGTTTTGTATGCCGCTTGCAGAATGACTTTTACACAGAATTACTTAATTGTTGATGACGACAACGGTGCCGCCTTTGACAGCTTCCGTGGCTTCCGAACGAGATTACGTGCGTTTTTCTGCTGCCGGGCAAAATTCAATTTTTATATAGCAACAGAATGACAGAATAATAAATGCAACAACAATGATTAAGTCAAAAAATGCGAAAGCTAAAATACCAATGCATATTTTTTACCGCTTCGTGGCCCCCTCGGATGTTTTGGAGCAAACGTAAGGGTTACAGGGATGCCACGTTATTGGATACATGTTTAAAAAGTTATATAGAGATAACTGAATTTCTTAACAAACAATTACAAATTAACTCTCAGTTTTAAATTTCTTTGAAAATCTAATTGTTGTTATTTAAAATAATGAAGGCTAAATACATTTTTTATATAACATATATCACTTAAACATATATAAATTGTCACGATTTCTTAGCATTCATAGCATGGCAACCCAAAGTGTATGTTCAACTTAACTGCGTTCGTAAATTATAGTCATAAAATTGTAATATTTACACGCACATACCTATGTGTGAAAAATTTACCGTTTTAAAGTTGGTTTTAGATTTATTGAAATTTTTCATATTTTAAAAGTTAAAATAATGGCATCGACTATAAAAAAGTGAAAGAAAGCAATATTACACAAATATGCAATAAATAAGCAGAGCTTGCTGTTTTAAACAAAATGAGTTTCGAAACCCGCCCAATATCTACATATACATACATATGTCTGTAAATACTTAGCTAGTGCTCCCTAAGCATATTTTTGAACTACAATCCAGATGCTCTATTTATATTAAGCATTATTTGGAAAATTGTTTATTGTTTCATTTTATTGTACACAAATTACAATACCTTGTAAAATTTACCCAATACGCTTATGAAAACTAAATGTACCTTTTGAATTTATACCAACAAGTCTGTTGTTGTAGCGGCAGAATTTTGTCGAGTTGACAGTCCTTGGCCGGAAAAAGCCGCGTCCGTTCCGGTTACGTAGACTCGACCGTTATGGGAACGGTACTAACTAGTCTCTAAGTATGTGGTATCTTTGAACTACATAAATGTGCTTTCGTTATACCAATCACATTGCTACCTTGGAAAAACAAATCTCTGGAAATAATTTATTTTGTTGACACAACTTTGCTTTTGTGCATTTACACTTTTTTCTGTAATCAAACCACTTTAATTGTTTATAATCGTTTTATGTTTTGATAAGCTTCATAATCAGTTAGGTTGATAAAAAATATAAAGTTTTTATAAGGCATTTGTAAGATTTATTAAGTTTCTACATCCGGTGCATAATCTTCATTTTTATTGTCGATTGCATATAACATCTAGTTTCTTGCTATATATGCAGTTAATTAATTTCTTGTAAAAAGCAAAACAAAAATAAAAAGAAGAAAAAATGTAAATATGTATATCTGAAAACGGATATCCCGAATAACGGTACGATTTTCATGTTGATTTGGATCGGTCAGTTTGTCTGACAGATATATGCTATAATGGCCTGATCTGAAAATGTATGCGGAGAATGTAGCGTTGCCTTGGACAATAATCTATACCAAATTTCATGAAGATTTCATGCTGATCCTTTATATATGTATATATTTTATAGCGTCTCTGACATTCATCCGTGTAGGTGTTAACAACTTCGTGCAAACTTAATATGACCATATATAATATTATATGTTATGTTGACAAAACTTAACATATTTGCCTCTTTGGTGGGATATGTATGTTGTTTCCTCGTACTTCTAGTGCATCGCTTATCAGTATAAAACTTGGTCATTCTAATATTTTTTATAAACAATCATCTCGTTTTGGCACCAGATAACACGAAGTTAGGTGTTAAATTGAGTAATGGCTTTTGTTAGTGTTGCTTACTTGACTTAATGATACGAATGCGGTAGCTTTATCACTTCGCAATTAAATGTTTCTTTTACGTCAGCAATGTGTACATCCCAAGCAGCGCAAAGTCATTGAATTTTTCTAATCAGTTTGCTGAACATAACAGTTGAATTTTAGTATAATTTTCCTATATGCCGACAAAAAGAGTACTCCATTTGGCATGCATTGGGAGCAAGTATACCCCCATTTTACTCATTTCAGAAGTTTCCCAAATTACTGTTTTAGGTAGCTGCAATTTCTTCGCTGCTTGCTTTTGATAAGTTTTAAATTATTTAAAGAGTCCGCACTTTGTATGGATGCTGAAAGATATTTTTCCACACCTTAAAATTGTTTTACTATACAAGCAATGTCAAAGTAAACGTATTTACCTGCCGTGGAATGCTTTCAAATTGATCAAACGGTGACTGCTGCTGGATTTGCTGGGATGCCGGCAATGAAATTCCAAGTATAACATTGCAATCGCATATACATTCACATATTATGTATGTAGCTGGTTATATGTATATACATATATAAAAACACAAATTTATGTGCACGCCACTAAGAAGCACTATCAGCCGAAGACTGCCTGATCTGTTGGGCTTGTCATAATTTGATGAACTAATGTCAACTTGTGCTTTAAGAGGTTTTTATCTTATCAGCTAGCAAAGCTGCAAGTCAAACACCCTGTAAATTATTTAAAAGTACTTAAACAACTATACGAGCTGAGCGATGCTTTCTAATGAATAACACTCCGCTATTATAATTAGTCGCTATTCAATCTTCCATTGTACAACAATCGCTGGAAGTAAGCGCTGTTGAATTTGCTTAACACTATCGGTTCAGAGTTTTAAAATATTTATTATTTACGATGGCAGAAGTATTGGCCACTGAGGAACTCCTGTACGAGGAAAAACCGCTTTATGTGCCACCATTGCAGGAATTAAAGAACAGTAAGTCTAAAAAACTTGATATCAACGCGAATGCAGGCATTTTAGTTTATTTTCTTTCGTAAGAAATACTTGTTTGGGTTGTTTGTTTGACATTCAAGTGAGAATGTCATAAGGGGGTATTCAATTGGATTTTTGCCTTTCTAACAAATATAATTGTAATTATGATGTGGTTTGTGTATTAGCTAAAGCAGAGATGGCGGTGATAAGATAGTTTGGTGCAGGGTGAACCAAACGACATAAAAATGTTGAGTATTTAAAATAAATGAACATGAGATTATTTTGTGTTTTTGTTTTAAGAAATTTATAAAATTAATTAGTAATATTTTTTTTTATTGTTTTATTCATCAATACATTTTTTTGGTATTTTTTTTTATTCATAAATAAAAGTTTTTGGTACTTAATTCATTATTTTTAAAGTATTTTTCAATCAGAAATAACTTTTTTTGAATGAAAATTATTATTAAAGAAAATCGAAGTATTTTATAAAATTTTTTTTCAGTATTTCTTTATTAATTAATACATTTTTATTATTATTTTTTATTTTATAAATAATTAATATAATTATTTTGTTTTTTTTTTTATAAAATTTTGTTAGAAAATTTTTTTATTCATAAACAATATTTTATTAATCACTTTGTGTTAAGTCTGGATATTTGTCAAAAATTATATTATAAGATTACTGTTATGTATATAATAAATATGTACAATAATATATTACAGTTATCCAAAGTGCTTTAGCTAAAAACTTCCAGAATGTGAGCGTTGAAGTGGGTGATTGCCCCGATTTAACAGATCCATTTTATGGTTTGCTGAGCTCAGGTAAGTTTTATATAATATATACTATACGCATTTACTACTTTATATGCTTGCATCGCATCAATATAGGCTTAGGTGGCTCACCCGTGCTGCTCGAAGTTGGCGGTCCACCATTCTTGCTGCCGCTGGTCCAGCGCTCCAAGGTGTACAATGTGAAGGAAATCGTGCAAAAAGCACTGCCGGGCAAGGGCAAACTATTGGCCATCGGTGCTGGTGCTGGACCCTTCCCTTTGCGTAATTCCAATTGCGAAGGCATTTTCAATATGGCCATCGATGAGAAGGGCACCCTCAAAAACGGCAGCTACACAGCTAAAGTGCACGGTGCCGAAGAGTTATGTGTGCTTGAACGCATTCCCGATTCAGATCCACGTTGTGCTTTGCTATTGAATTTATACATTAGTCGTGGCGCCCCCGGTCCGGTGGTGAAAGTCAAGTGCAGTAAACGTACGGGTGAGCTGAATTTTGTCGAATGCATGCGCAAGGGCTTGGCGAGCCACTACAAGGAGAAGTGTGTTGGTATGGGTGGTATTTTCGTGTTGAAGAAGGGTGCAGCGCATCAGCACGTTATGCGTGACTTCAGCAAGACGCCATTACACACCGAAGAGGAGTTGAACGATTGGTTGAAGTTCTATAATATGCCAGCGCAGCTGAATGCTGTGGGCACACTGCTTACGCACGAACATGTAAGTAGCCACAATTTGCTTATTATTGCTCAATTCGGACTATATACTGTTATTCTTAATGTTAATCATGAATTTCTCCTCCTCTTATGCAGGATTTAGATTTGCGTCTGCAGCACTTCCACTCCTTCTCCAAGTCCAACTGGGGCGGTCATTATCATTATGACACTACGCCGGATGTAGCCGAATACGAGGCTTATCTGAATGTGGCCGAACGTGTGGTGCGTGTGGATCGTCCATTGGAAACTCACAAAGTGGGACGTGATTAGTGGCTTGAAATACTTCCATATATAGAATAAGATATTTCTCGTGTCTTAATTTTTTACAGCAAATGAAATCTAACAGTTTATTTTTCTAACTGTTTTGAGCAATCAATTTGTACATATAATATAAACATAAATTGCTGTATAATATAAGTTAAATAATACCCAGAAGATTTTTATTTATTTTTATCAAATATATTCAATGTAGTCTTATATGTAACTGTAAATTCAACAAATATCTGGTATTCTCCAGCAAAGTCTACTTTTGGGCATTTGCTTCCTTCAGACGGTTCAATTATTGGCAGTGCATATCTGAATTAAGAGTTTGGCCTTAAGAGAGCAGCTTATAGTAGATGATTCCCTGTCAATCCCACCAAACATACAGCAAAGCCATCCTGACCCTTCATCCTGGCTTGACCACCGCTTACGCCGACTCACGGCCATTCGACCGCAACCTTTTTCGCTTGACGTTGTTGTAAGTAATCCATTTTTCATCACCAGTAATTATGGATCGATTTTGTTCCGATTCAGTAGCGATGGAAATTCGGTTCATGAGTTTTATTGTTTGCGTTATTTCGTGTGCTGATGTCCATCTTTGACTAAATATTGGACAAATAATGGATTCATTTTTATTAGGCCTTGAAGCTAGGGAGGCAAGTTGGAAGTGAGTTTTCTGTAAGGAGCTCTCCGACAAGCCTGGCCTTAGGCTACCGTCAATTTATGAGGTTCTTATAATCAATGGTATAGGAATTTTAACCCTATATCCAAAATACATTTTAAAACTGTTTTCAGTGCTCGAGACTGACCCTAGTCCCTCAATTAGACAGCTTTTAACAGCAACTACTGTTTTGAAATCATAAGTATTGTAGACTTTTTACTGATAAAATAAATATCCTAGCACTTAACTTACCACCAGCTTGCTTCAAGTGACGGCACTCACTATTGGTGTAGTGTACGTCAAAACAATTTTATCTACTAAAACGTGCAAAATTGCCTTATATACCTTTTGTTTATTATTTTTGTTTTACAATATTTTGTATATTTTTATTTTTGCATTTTACGTTTAATTTCATGCAGTAACATGTTTACACGAGCAATAAGCACAGCTGCGGAAAACAGTTAAATCGCAGCTGAATGAAATGATTACCGTTGTTAGTGCCGTTCATACAATGAAATCATTTCATATAAACACTCGCTGGTCGCTATCAACGCAACATATGCATATACTTGTGCATACATATATATTCACACACATAAGTATCTCCCTGCTGCCGTAACCTTCTTTGCATCCTTCACAAAAAAAATATAAAAGTATTTACCATAAATATGTGCGTATATAAGCACCCACTGCAACGCCATTACTACTACTATGTATTGTGTACACTTTTTATGCTCTCACCAAAAAAATAAAAACATATTTGCTAAGGTGTGGCTTTGCTTTGTGCACTCTCTCACTCACTGCAGCTGCGCACTGCGAGCACCACCACTACTACCAAATTTCCATATATAATAACCGCTTTCTCACAGCAGACATTTTGTTTGTTGGCGCTTTCCCCATTTCAATGCTCTCAGCTCCCAAAGTGCGAAGTCATAGCAACCGCCAATCAGCATCGACTGCGCGTGAGATTTGAGCGCAGCACAACAGAAGCGGAGAAATGAGCTTCAGCATTGCTATAACTTGTCAATGTTATGCATGTTTATATGTATGTACAATATATACTTATGTAAAGGAAACTTAATGGAGTTTCACTCGAGGGGGGCAAAAAGAGGTGTGCGGCGATTAAAATAAATGGCGACTTTGCGTGCCTGCGCTTATTTACGTTCATAATGCAGCGGCCATAATATTTAAAAGACACATCGTGAAAAGCGTAATAATTGTATGGAATAATGTTGCCAACGTTGTAAGTAGCGCCACCACTACACCACACCTAAGGGAATGGCGCTGCTGGGCCACTTTGTCTGCCAAATCGTAATTGGATATTTATTTCGATATAGGCATTTATAATATAGACATATACATATGTATGTGAATATATCATGAGTGCGTGTAATGTGTATTTTTATCCACAATATTATGCTTAAATGAACTTCAAAATTTTTAATCAACATTTTATGTGTTGTCTACATATGTATATTTATTTTAAATGCTTGTAAACACTATAATACTGTTAAAGCAATGAATATTTGTCTTGCTATTTAGTTAGTTAGGCTAATCTGTGTTTTGGAAGCACTTATGATTTTTATATAAAGATCGATTACGATAACATATCTTCCTGAAATTAGCCTCAATTTTATGAAGAATGTTTTAGCGGATAATTGCCCCCGCATTACAATTTCCTTCATGCATACTCATCAAATTCTAGTCAATACCAAACTTATTAATGAGTGTTTTTAATATCAATTCGATATATTATAAATTTATTACATATGCATTTTCTTATTATTAATTTATACTATGAAATTATGAATTTGATTTAATGATCATTAACAAACAGTATAAAATATGGAATATAATTATGATTAGCACCATTATTATGGAAAATTCGAAAAAAAAGAGGACCAACAAATAGTCCACATTTCAACTTGCATACCAAGCTTCGGAATTTTTCTTTCAATGTAATTAAACAATTTTCTTCACATCCAACGCTTTGACAAACTGTTTTATCATTACTGAATTAGGCCGGGGGGGACAACCCTGCCCTCCCATATAACGTACTGTTAAAACTACTTAAAGCACGATAAATCAAGCACTAAACACGCCAGAGACATTAAATTTTATCTCTGGGATGTATGAAGATGACTTTATAGGAACCGCTTCAAAATTAAGACAGGGGCGTGGCACAGCCCTTTAGGAGAAAACCATATCTTGAGATCTGCTTACGATTTCAACCAAATTCGGTAATAACATTCTTCTCATATCTCTATGGTATAGTGCGAAAATGGGCGAAATCGGACTACAACTACACCTATTTCCCATATACCATTTTCAATTCCACTGATCTTCTCCACTATGCATATCAAGCAGCAATGATTGTATCGGGGTAAAACTTTGCGGGATATATGCGTTTAAAGTATGCCACCTTGTGACCAAAAATTCTTTAACATGAACCAAAAAACTATTCCAAGCCCTAAAGAAATTCATATAATAAAATAAACAAATGAAATTCTCGATAATAGTATGTTTTGTGTCAAAAATGGGTTGAATCGGATCAATACTTCCTTTAATATAAAATTTGTAACACCTGACGTAATTTCCGTGCTTTGATCCTTGCAAGTTGCGAGAGTATAAAGGTTCGGTTACACCCGAACTAAGAATTTTCTACTTGTTCTTCGCACATTTTCGGTAGGAGCCTGAGAGTGAAAATCACGTATGTTTTATGCGCGAAAAGGTGAACATAACCTAATCATAAAACTAAATTTTTATTACAAACTAGCCGATAATTATGAAAATATTAGATATGCAATATCTTAAAAACAAGTGTTCATTCAATATTTTCATAAACAATTTCGTAGTTTGGATACTTGAAACCGTTGAAATTTGCTAAGATATTCAGGCAACAAAAAGATACATAGTTCTTTGTAGAGCTGTGTTAACTAGCCTAGTCTACGTGATTACCCGAGACAAGTGATACAGTCACAATTTATTTATCAATTTATTTACATGTCTGTATATAGCTAGTTCTCCATACAATGACTACCGTTTTGACCGAATTTGACAGGTAAAATAATAAAATTATTGTGAAATTAACTTTTTAAACGCCGTCATTTTGTCAATTTTTAATTTATTTTGCGTCCTTAGGTCATTGTACTGACAATATCTCATAAGAGAGATTTCTTTGATTAGAGGCCGAATAGCTATGCAGAGAAGAAGAGTAGCGTCGTCGGAAACGAGGAAAAATATTGTTTTTTCATATTTTATGAGTATCCTTAAAGTATGTATATGTATGTATTTTCTAAAATCCTTCAAGCCAACCTAAAAGTCTTAAAGTGTCATCAGCGCAAAAATTCCAAGCAATGAAGAAACTGCAAATTTCAAAATTGTTTTCAAATATGTTAATAACACTATAATTTTTTAAGTTGGCATATGTATGTATATGTATGTACATATAAAACACGATACATAAACGTGTATGTACATATGAAATGATTGTTTGAATGGCTTGAAATCCTTGGGCAAGAGTAACTCTTTCTATGTTAGACCCAATTACATAAAAATGCAATAACAGTTACGGCATCCAGGAGCGGAGATTAACATGTTTTATTTCCTTCACTCTGCTGCTACCACAATAACATAGGTATATATCAAACTCTAACATTTCTCCCCCGCTAGATGATGACTACTCATTCTTCTTACCGGTTACACGAATAGACAAGTTAATATTGCGCTGCTTTGTCGGTATTTTTCGGCTCTTTTCGGTATCTTTGTTACTATGCGCAACTACACACAACGCTCAAACATAAATATTTTTTTATTATTATTTTTCTTCCACCGTTTTTTTTTTACAAATTTCACGAGTGTTCAACTCATTGCCAGTTATTACCGCACCAACACCTTTACACGCCAACAACGCCAAACAATTCGCAACTCATTTGCTCATTATGAAATTCTTAGCGATTCGCAGAGGTGTTTATGCGCGCTATTCAAGTTCATCCTTTAGCATCCTTTTTTTATGTTAGCTGTTAGTTGTTAGCAAACGGCAGCTAGCAAGTTGGGCAACAATGTAAGCGTATATTTGTTGGTGTGTTGCCTGTTTTTTGCACATCCTTGCCGCTTTCCGCATACTTTTTATTTTTTTACGACCTTTTTGTATACTTTATTCGTTGCTGTTACTTATTTTTGATTTTTGTTGCGCTACTCAAACGGGTTGCGTATACTTTCACTGGCGGTTGAAGAAGCGGCGCGGCGGGCGGTTTGCTGATTGCAATTTTCACTTTGTTTATTTCACTTTTTGTTTGACTCTTTCTTTCGAGTCTATACTTGTATGTGCATAAAATGTGTGTGCGTGTATTTGTGGACTTTGTTTGTAAGACAACGCAACCATAATAGGTCATTCAACCCGATTATGCAAGCTATACGTGGCAAAGGGCGAATTTCTACAGAGATTTTCATTAAAAAAAAACATAAAAAACATTGCACGGTTGCATTGCATAATGTCGCGTCGGCTGTTTTG